AATTAAAAATAGATAAAAGCGGTAAATTGTTTCGGAATATCACCTAGGTACGTACGAGTACAATGTATATTATGTGTCGTCGCTATGTTTGATGGCGGCAATACAAAAAACAATTTAATAATAACGTTTTAGAAAAAAGATAAAATAATTACTATGATGCTGTCAAATCGTATAAAAATAAAATAAGTGGTGAGCAATATTAGTCAAAGTTTTATTGCCGTCACATAAGGTGTAAATAAGGGTTAACAAAATATTTGTGCAACATTTTATTTTCCAATATTGAAAGCTATATTTTCAAAACAACAACAAAAGTGTAATTATAATTACAACTAGATTAACTTTCGATTCATTTTTTTCTTATTCAACAGTAAACTACAATTATTTAATTAGAAACCCCGACGAAGTAAACAAAGTTAAACGGGTAAATGACAAACTATTCGAATGTTCATGAATAAATTAATTTTCATGAACTTAATTATATTTAATCATTTTGCATAAAATTACAATTTATAAAGAAATGTTAGTTATTTGGTATAACTTAATTAATAAAATTAAAATGACAGATAATGCTTACAACAACAACCATTTATTTTTTTCCAATGAATATAAATCACAATCTAATTACATCTTTTACTCAGTGTTTGAACCACAAAATTAAAAACATATAGCCACTTAAGCCCACCTTGATGCAATATTACACAAAAAATATTAAACTTCAAGAAGTGCACATGGTATTTTGCTGTCAATCATAGTCACTAGGAACACAAAAAACACCAACCCTGACATACCCCCACGGGCATGCACTTGCACGAACAGCAACGCGGTTTTCAATCGTAGGTAAGTTCGCAGTCCCCGACGAACAAAATCCTAATGGGAAAATTACAATTTTACAGGAGCAGATAAAAACTGAATATCTTGAATTCTATCAAGACTAAAAAGAAGATTCTTTTATCAAAAATAGGGAATATTTTTTTGCACTAGATTTGTACTAAATTTTTATCATAAATTTTCTTTATCAGTAAGAAAATTGTGAAAATGTCCATTACTGAAATAAGCTATGGAAAAAATTAACGCAAACTAACTTTACGATAGTGTTCGACTGTTATCACAAATCGGTGTGCTGTGGTAATCGTTCATTATGATATAGTTCCATGGTAAATATGAATATACTTTCTATTCGTAAAATGATATTGCAATCGTATTCGATGATATAACTGACTTTAATATTACGGTAAACATAAATTACATGCTTATTTGATGACCATTTTTAGGTGTTATGAAAGGTAAGCAGCAAAATTAACTATTTCGGTACCTATGTATAAATAAAGTTTTTATGTGTATTACTTTAAATTTGACATTATTTATCTTTTTATGTTTTGATGCATATTGTATTAATTTTTATTAGTAGCACTGTAAATTGAACCTAAATATTGTCAGCTTATAATCTAGCGAGTTTTCAATTGGGCAAGACATACAATCCTTACTAATATTATAAATGCGAAATTAACTCTGTCTGTCTGTGTAGCTTTCACGCTAAAAGTACTGAACCGATTTACATTACATTAGTACACAGATACCCTAGAGCCTGAGGAAGGACATATACTACTTTTAAATGCAAAAAAGGGTTGTAAGGGATCGAAATAGGGGTTGAAACATTGTATGAAAGTATCGTCATTGCTTGGGATTCACTCAAATGGTACCCAAAGTCACTATTCCATACGGACGAAGTCGCGGGCACACGCTAGTTGATTATAAATTTACTATTTAATGGCGACAAATTAAACGCAAAAATTATCAATTTTTATTATTATAATATGAAACAATAACTAAAAGAAAAATTACTGAATTTAATTTTTATCTATATCTTCTTGTTGTTGTTCAGGTATAATATTGAGATCTGCATAATTTAAATTACTATAAAAACTGTGATAACATTTAGGGATGGCCTCACTTTCACACTAAGACTTCAGGTCAGCAAACAGAGCCTTGGTGGTAGGTAAAGGGTGGCTGTAAACATTTTTGAGTGTTTGTACCTCAACCTGGCCAGGGACGGGTTTCCGTCCTCGTTTGGGTTTGTTTAGTTGAAGTTTTGTATCGAAATTTGAAATTTCCTATCCAAGATATTAGGAAAAATAAAAATAGTTATCAAACAGTAAATTCCCAAGATAGGTAGGTTAGAGTAGTGGTGATTGAGGGTAGTTTAGAAATGGAAATTAATGCTACTTTTAAATAATATTCATTTAATGAAATGATTGGTTTTAGTCACTACGATTACACATGTGATTGTGATTTCATCATAGACAAAGATAAATGGTATTAAAATCGGTCGAAACTCTTTTTTCGCGAGCCTTGCGCTAGCGTTATAATTATAATTAAGTAGCAGTGGTTTTGTGAATCGGTCACAGGTCTGATGATATGATTTTTCACTTGTTCTTGTGATTTTATTCCATCCCCAGTAGTTATAATCCATTATCAATTTATTTTGATAGCAATGTTGGATAAGTTATATTGTATCTGTATTGTAATTTATAAAAATATTAAAACTATTAAATTTCGAGAAAGATCGCATAAGTTGATAATTAATCAATAAATTACCTGAGAGCATAACGGAGACTATTCACATCACACATCAACAGTCTTTAATTGCCCATTGCTGGACATAGGCCTCTCCTTAGAAAGGAGGTTTGGACCATTAGGCATGCAAAAAATAATTGTACAACAATAAATTCTATAATGTCAATAGAAAGCATTGTGTTGTTTAAAAGTTATAACATTAAAAAAATATGTCCGAGTATGATAATAAATTATCTACAAAAATGTCGTACACTAACATTAATTAGTGCTATGGATGCCTTACAATATGAGCCATCATTTAAGTTCTCGTCTAAATATTCTCTCAGAGAATAATAACAATTTACTATAAACATTCATATAATAATATAATTATCTTAAATCATTTCTTCAACTCATAATATAATATAGGTTATAGAAATATAACATTATAAAGTTAAGGAATCAGAATCTCAGAATTTCATTCTTTCAGAATATAAATTTGCATAATTTCTTCAATTTTATCAACTTACGTAATTGAATCAGGGACGAACGAAAACAAATCAATAAAAGAGTCAGAGTCAACTATTGATTTGTTTTCGTATAGAAAGGTGAATGTCCGTGTGAATTTGAACAGGATCTAACAGTAATATCACAAATTGGTACAATAAACAATTTGTACTTTCTGTTATAGCCGTAGTTTTTGAGGATAAAATGTCGAGATAATACACGAAAAAATTTCACACACTGTCACCATCCCCTAATCTCCAGTGTTAGGCATACAAACAAAAACCTAGTTGGATATAAAAGTATAATATATTGTCTGTTACACACGCCTAAAGAGAAACCTTGTGACTCCTGAGTTGCAGGCGTTCATGGGTGGCGGTAGTCGCTTTCCATAAGGTCACCCATCTGCTCGTTTGCCTCCTCTTCCATAAATATATATAAGTATATAACTTTATTGACATTGATTTTATTGGATTGCCGTGACTGTCTAATCGTAAGGAAGTTCTTTGGAAAGATTACTTACAGCTAATGGCTTATAGCTAATACGAACTTCTAGATGGCGATTGGTTTTACGATGTTCAAGTTTTTAATGCCAAACTTTTATTAATTTTCTTATCTATTTTTTTTTGTTTTAAAGCGTATGTTATTTAAACCTTGGGGGAGCCATGCCATTGACTGGATTCCAAAGACTCACAGTTAACCGCTGCTAAGCAATTTCGTTGTTACATTAAATGTAACAGCAATGGGGTAGCAGCCAACTTGATTCATTAGTTGAAATTTTCAACTAATTAATCAAGTTGGCTGCTACACCATCATCCTACTATACTGAGTGTTGTGGGTTCGATCCCCACATGGGACGACACTTTTTGTGATCCACAAATTGTTGTTCTGAGTCTGGGTGTTCTTTGTAGCCGTTTCATGTTTGTTTGTAAAAGTTCCTCGGGACACAGGGTACATTCCTAATGCGAGAGTTGTCTTTTTTAAAGAAGAAGAAGAACAGTTACAAGAGCTATTCCCGGATGTGTTTTTATTAAGTAAGTAAGGAGATTGTTTGTTTTACTTGTCGGTTAAATTGCTACGGTTTATCGCTTTAATTTCTGCTAGAAAGTTCAAAAGCAGATCAAACATCTCAAGAAAGTGATAGACAGTGTAGATTAGTTACTACTGCTTTTGTTTACGCCATACGTATGTTTGACCTCTAGTTTTTTTTATTTTTAAATCAAAACATAACAGTTGACATACGTAGAAGTCAAGCCCGTTCCTATTTAATAAACATCAAATTAGTAGATGTATTAGAAACTTGCATAACATTACGATGTTGTGATGTCATAGTTTAAACTTGTTATTTATTCTGAGGATAGAATAATTAATAAAACAAGAAAATTGTAAGAAAAATACTTTTTTAATGTAGGATATTTTCTTAGTCAAACATTTTAAATTTAATATAAATATATATATATATATATATATATACTATAAAATATATTTCGTACACGGTAGATACAAGGTATTTCCACGTAATAGTAACAATAAAAAAAAATATAAAAATTAAACTTCTACCAATTTGATAGTTAATTTGAAAATAAAAAGACTGAACCTCTTGCAATTGACTAGATTGTTGTACAATGTTTAAATCTAAATTGATTTGACAATAAAGTGGTAAACGCTTACATCTTTTTTAAACTTACTAATAGTGGTACTTTTATAATTGATAAAATATAAACAAAAACAAGACAGAACCTACTTAAAAATGGCAATCCCTAATAAAACAACAATTAAATTAATAAATAATAATTTATAAATATTCAGCACATAATTTAGCTTTAAAACACAACGCTGGAAGTAACTTCCACGATTAAAAATACATCAAATTATAATTTCATAACCTTCAATACCAACACAGGATTTAAAAACATAGGTTGCATAACATCAATAGTCAGTAATCAATAGTCACTAGGAACACAAAAGCCACCCACTCTGTCATAACCCAGCGGACAGGATCCAGCTCGGATAGCAACTCGGTTGTCAATTGCAGGCAACTTGTTTTTCGACGAATCACCAATACTTCTCGACACTGTTGGCGATGTCGTCTGTGCATTAACATTCCTCTTCAAGACTGGTGATAATTGAGATTTTTTAATTTCCGTACTATCTAAAAAAGTAATTTTATCCGGAGTTGATGTAACTTTTGAATTGTTTAGAGCTTTAGCATTGATGCAAACGACTAGGGCGAAACACGTTAATACGATCATGTTTGAAAACATTTTGACACTTGTTTGGTAACGTGTGCTTTGTACGATTGACGATTCGATAATGACGTGGAAGTATACTGTTGCGTCTTTTATTCTACGAGTATCATACGTATTTAGATGACTCAGTTATGGAAAATCCTACCTGGTGCAGTCTTTGTCGCAAAGGTTGATTCCATGAACCAGATATCTCTATCGATTGCGTGTTCATTCAATAAAATAATTTAATGGAAAAGAATGGAACTGTTGTTCATAGTAATTTGAAAAAAAAATTTGATCAATAGAAATTTCACAAATTGTGTTCGGAGATATTATTCAGAAAAATGTAGAATAATGCAATCTTATTCGTCACTTGAATAATATGACGTTGACGTGAAACAGTTTTTTTCAGTTTAGACAGGAAAAATTTTTTGCAATAATATTCTACTAAAACAAATCAGCGAAATAATTGTGAACGCTGTTTTTATACTATTCTCGTAAAATAAATTTGAAACAAAGCGTTGGTTGCCTGTAGTCAATAGTAAAAAGCACCCCACGCTTTTTTTTAATTTATTTTCTATTTTTTTAAGTTTGGTTTTCTATAGAAAGCGTGTTTTTTAGTTTTTTAAAACTATATTTTTTTTATTTTTTTTTAATTAGTGTATTATTATCGGTCCTCGATATATCTACAAGGTTTGAACGAATTCTGACCGTTTAAAGTCAGTCAAAATCACGCCCAAAGGAGCCGGTCCATCATACAAACAAACATACAAGTGAAGCTAATATAAAGCGTGTAAAAATTGGCCGAAACCAAAAGATAATTACTATTACATTGTTTTATTTTAAACCCTGGAATAAGGATTCAAAGGTCCTGTTACCGTTCAATGTAAGTATTGGAACGAAGTTCTTTATCGCGCGTTACACGTTCTGAGCGGATGAGAGCGAGACCGAAAAATGTGTAACAGGACTTTTTTGCGACACTTCAGTTGGCACCGTGACACTCACATCTTTTTAAGATTTCATATATATAGCAAACGTCTACCAAAAAGCGACAGGAACCTTGTTCCGACCTTGGTCCATAGACCCCTCACGCCATTTTTTCAGTATGAAATTTTATTAGTAAATTAACTTGACAACAAAAACTATCTTTTTTAAAATCGAAATATCATTAGAATGGATAACTTAAGTATAACACGTTTTGAAACAGTATATAAGTTTATAAAAAATAAGTATCGATGATCTTTTCTCATCTCTTTACATCTATATCTTAGCAAGTTAAAATCAGAATACGTTTTAAAATTGTGTTTTTACCAGTTATCATTTATTCGCAGCCGACGATAAGATACAGCTTTTATGAAAGTGATTAGTTCTTCGAACGTGTAAGGGAATCCGTAGTTGCAGTCCGTGCATATTCTTTTTAAATTAACTTTACTAATTATAATTGATGAGTAATTTAAACCTGGAAAATCCTGTGACAGGTAATCAGAGGACAATGACATTTTTTTTTACTAACTGTGTTCTTAATTCCTTAGCTTTCAATACTAGAGGTGATATTTTTTCTTCTGATTTGAATGGGACCCAATAAGAATTTACCCTTACAAAAAGAATCTAATCGGTTCATAAATGACGGAGTTCAGACGTAACAAACATAATAAAAATACAGAAAACAAGCAGATCGGTTACCTGAACGTCTGCAACTCAGGAGTCACAAGCGCGTTGCCGGTCTTTTGGGAGTACTCTCTTTTCCTGAAGGTTTGAAGGTAGCAAAGGTCCGATATCAGACGATAACTTGTTCCACAGATTGGTTGCCTAAACATCCAGGATGTAATCAAACGATGTAAGAAATTATATTATACATTTATTTCCACAAGTAAATTTCATAGTTAAACTAACTGCCATTCATCAGATAGTACTATATTTAATATTGTATACATAATTAAATTCAAATAAATCCAGAATTAAATTTTACAGAATCAGGTGGACAATGCTTTACACGAAGCTTATATTTATTTCGTGGCCTAACTGTTGGAGTTACCGCTATTTTATTTTGCGCTGACCAAGTAATAAGCGCATCTCTCTCATAATTACCAAGATTTACTGCTGGATATGCTACCGGTTCTCCCTTTGGACGTTTTAAACGAATTCTATAGAGATCCTTTAATTCCTTGGTATTTATATGGACTACTAACACCAGACACATTATTATTTTTATATTCCAATTCAAAAACATTTCTAAACTTTGATGATACAGTTCACAATATTATTTATTAACTACGAGTATTGCTCAGTGATATAGTGTGGTAACGTTGATTATCAATTTATTTAAATAGTAAATTTAAAATATATCATTATAAGCTGTGCGACGATCACTGCTAATATGTGAACTGTTCGAATAGAAAATTACACAAGTGTTTTATAGTACTCCTTCAATCCATTGATTGATTTATTCCCACAACTTTATTATGGAAATGTGTTATATATATGAATGGATAATAACATATTTTAGACACCGTAAAAACATTTACATGATTTCTCATGACCTAGATGTTTTTTAAACACTTTGGAGAATATTCAAAGTCGGAAGTAGAATAGGTATTGTATATACTCGTACATTGTTGATCTGGAACTTGTTTCAGAATAAAAAATATTTCCTAAAGATATCGACCAAAAATTTCGACACTAGAAAGATCCATATCGCAAAGCATTGTGTGTATGCGTGCATGGTATGTATGTTTCAATATGTGTATGTATATAACGGCATCTTCAAACATGATTGTGACCCACTTCAAAACGTCGAATTCAATTCGAAAGTTCGCACACTTATCAAAGACCGATGACAAGGCCCCTGGCCGCCTGATAAGAATCTTCAGGATTCACGGCTTTTTCCATACCTAAAAATATGGTAGTTTCTTTTGGCGTGTACTTACTTGTTACCTTTTTAGTCTTAATGAAAATAATTATCATTAATGATTAAAAAAATCAAAAATAACTAATAATTAAAAAAACTAAAAATTCGCTTTTGTAACTAGCTGAACTAAAAAGTAGAAAATATTTTTTTATGAGTTTTAAAAGAAAAATCATTTTATCCTTAATAAAGCGTGCATATATATTTAATATTTTTTATAAAACTACTACTACACTACTACTACTTGTTCCCAATAACATTATATTTTTTTTTTATATTGCGGTCGCGGCATTTATACCTATATTAAATAGAGTAGTTAATAGTTTATAGTACATACTCTATAGCGTATAGTATATATAGTACAGGTTGCTGATTTCTGACTCAGGCAATAATTAAAAAACCTCGCCATCGTAGTCTTTTACATTTTACACAATACAATATACAATTAAGGTACATCCTAATTTAATCGCATCGCAAAGTTACTAAAACATGTTGAACACTATAAATTATTACATTTTCATGCACATATGTATCACCTTCATTAATACCTGAATGACCAACCTGTCAGTCTTTGAAGATATATTTGCCTTCAGAGACTCCTTCTTACTCGCTTCAAGATTACGCTAAGAAACACAAAAACTGAAAAAGGTTCAGAGGAAGATTATTTAAATAATACGGGTGACATTGAAACTAGCCATCAAAATTCAGATCATCAAAACCTTTCAAAAAAGAAGTAACACATTATGATGAATTCTAACTTTGGTATTGAATTCGGCCATGTTGCAAAACATGTTGTTGTATATTTACAGGGCATGAATATATCAACAAAAAAATCCCAGGTTGTTTAAGTTACTATGATAAACAAACTATAAATGATTCATAGTTAATAATAGTATCCCGTGTGAAAATTGGACAGTGAAATTTGAAAACGAATATAAAGTACCTGAGTTTCATTTTCGAATCAGTGTTAATACAAGCGCAATCGAAGCACTTACTAAATTAGTACGTTAAACGGTGAATAGAGGAATAATCTAAATATTTTTCAAAGGATACAAAATTGTCAAAAACGTAGCTCGTAAAACATAATTTTATTATGTATTTAAACATATGTATGAAGTTTGTTTTCTGTGTGGCTCTAGCAGACTGTTCCAGCGCAAAGAGAATAAACGATTTCTCCAGCTTGCATTACACAAACATCAAGGAAGAAGGAAAGGCCCATCCGTTGAAAAGTCTTGAAAACTGGGACAGTAACGTGGTTATCGCCTGGTCAGAACAGAAACAACCTCCAATAACACCTGCAAACCGCTTTAAGGGTAAATATACAGTAAGAGAACGTCCGCCTGCTACAGTAAAATGGCCTTCAACAAGTAAATATCCTTAATGATATGACCAAATATTAAACTACTATCTTATAAAATGTACATAACTTATATTGTCTTACTTTATTAATCCTCCTATTAATCCCTAATTATTTCTTGGCTATGGATTCTTAGTTTATCCGTTTATGCCAATGACATGCCAGATATACCCCGTTTTACACGAAAATGTCTGTAAATAATAGAGGTTAAAGTATGAAATTGCCATTGTATAGTGATAGATGCTTTGAATTGATATAAAACTGACAACTGAAATATGAGACTGCTAATGATCGCACCGTGCATTTTTGATTTAAACGCTTTCGTAATGGAAACTTCGACTTGAAGAACGAACTACGTGGAAGACCGCCCACACAGGTGAATAACACTGAATTGAAGTAAATGGTGAAAGCCGATTCGAGGCAAACTACCCAGGAATTAGCGGCATGGTTTACCGTTACCCTTCCTACAATATTGACTCAATTACATCAAAAAAAAAAAGATTTGACTGATCTACAGAAAGAAGATCAGTCAAATCATAATTGCGCATTGAAACTTGTATTTCCTTGTTGAATTGGTACAAAAATGAAGGAATGTCGATTGTTTACGAAAACCGTAAGAGAAAAATGCAACGACTGACCCCAGGTCAAACGCCGCAGCAGTGCCCCAAAGCAAAGTTTACCAATAAAAAGGAAATGGTAACTGTTTGATGGTCACTTTCTAGGGTTATTCACTATAGCTTTCTCAAGACTAGTCAGGCAATAACAGCAGACGTTTACACCTAGCGGTGAAACAGCCCCGACTCGTTAATCAATCTTCACCATTATTGCTTAATGATAACGCAAGACCTCACACTGCACGAGAAAATGTCATCCTCCGTACTAGCCAGGCCTTGCTCCAACAGACTACCATTTGTTTCGTTTCATTTGATTCGGATAATCTTCAAAAAAAAAACTTTCCAGGACGCAGAACAAAATGCACACAGTCTGTCGAATCTTGATCCAAGAGTTCTATCGTAAAGGTATAAATGAACTTCCGTTTAGATGACAATAATGTAAAGATGATGGGCTAAATATTTTTATGAAATAAATATGTTACATTTTAGAAAAAAAACGAGTTTCAATTTTAAAGTACAAATCGTCAATTTGATATTTTAACCCCTAAATTAGAGAAAAATTAGGTAGTTTATTAGAATTTTATATTCTTAAGCCCCGGTGTAAAAAGATGTCTTGTGAAAGCATTCTAGCTCCTAACGAATAGACCGATCATAATGCGGTTTTTTGTTTGAAAGCTGACGTGATCGAGATGGTTCTTAGCTATAATCTGTGAAGATCATTAGCTCAATTCTTAGTTGATGAAGGGATATATTTTTTTTTATTATTTTTTTTTTTTACCGTGTGGAAATCCCCTCGGACCGTCACCCCACCGGAACCATAAAAAAGGAAATATGGTTGTATATAATATGTGACTTAGGTAACAATACTAATACAAATATAAAAATAAAATACTTATTTTTCTTATAAATCGTCTCTTACACAGCGTTCTCTAGACCAAAATATAGCACAGTTGGCAGTGTTATATTCTTTTTTTTTAACCGAAACCCTCTCGATCTGTCACCTCACCTGGGTTTGCGGCGGGGTGGTGTGTAGGACTCGGACCGACTAAAACCACATGGTGTGCCACTCTGTGCCTGTAATAGGAGGGATCCGGGAACAGCTGTTATTAAGACATCCGGACCCCTCCTAGCGCCAGCCCGCTCCTGGTGCGGGCTCCGTCTCAAAATTTTCCTCTCTTTAGGCGACGTCCGGCACACGCGGACGCCGCCCCCTCGCGGCTGGCCAAACTAATGCGGGTGGAGGGGAAACCCACCCCGTCCACCCGCGGCCACACTCAGGGCGGCATGAGGCGGTGAAAGGCGTGCCTCCGCCACCCGGTTCGCCGGCGGCGGATCGGGTCCGAGTGGAGGTCGTCCTCCCGGGCCTTCTCCGCCGCCTCCTTCTGCGAGGATGCGACCGCGGTAAAACAACTGTCGCTACCGGCCATGGAGCGTACTACGGCCGGTAGCGAGAGATCCACTCCGATGACTGCAGTGAGGGCCCGGCGCTGCGTCGCCCATGCGGGGCAGACCGCCAGCGTGTGCTGGGCCGAGTCCTCACTGCAGTCGCAGTGGTGGCAGGCGGGACTCAGTTCCCTCCTAGCGACCGAGTGCAGGTACTTTCCGAAGCAACCGGTCCCGTGCTGCCGCCCTGCTCACTCGGCGATGACCGGCTGGAGAGCCTCCACGGCGGCGAAGCGAGCGCGTGGAGTCTCCAGCCGGAACGACCAACGAGCCATCGTGGCTCGGCGAGCGGCTTCGCGCCACTCGCGCACATCCTCGGGCGGAGGGCGAAATCCGCTCTCCGCCCGGGAGTCAGCCACTCGCCGATAAACTTCTGCGAGCACTTCCGCCTCCAAATCCCACGGGGGAGTTCCGGCCAACGCGCATGCCACCTCCGTCGAAACGGTGCGGTAACCGCGTATGGCTCTGACCGCCATTACAACTTACACAACACAACGTTTGAAGTTTGGTGTATTGCAACTTTAGTTATATTGCCATGTTATGGTAACCTTGACCTGATTTTACAGCCAAAGCTTGAGTTAATGCTGGTGTCGAGGGTGCTCCAATTTGTTTTTCTTTGTGTTATCATTTGTTTTTATTATATGGGCATATTTTTCATATTAGTCTGACTAAGAATATCCTCTATGCAATAATGTTGCTATTTAAATAATAGTGCTGGTTACTTTATTATTTTAAGGAAGGTCCAGCTTATACGGTGACTGCATCAAAATTTCCCAAACAAATTTCTTTCGAGTTATCAGAAGTAAGTGTGAAAATACAATGACCTCATAGAATATAGTCTACAACGGAAATATCGGCCAATTATGGTCGCTCTTTTTCAATTGCTTCGTTGAAATGGTCGAGTAAGAACTTTATATGACCAAACTGATGGATTCGCCCCATCACTCGCCTCATAATGAACATGACAAATTTAAAAGCTTAAGTTCATGTAAAATATCCTCGCAATTGATGATTCAAGTTGCGCTCCATAGAATGCGGTCTAGAGGTAGAATCTGGTACAGGGGAGTTCCTACCTCTGTGTTCTCATAGAGACAATGACAATATTCCATATGCGGCCGAACCAGCGTCTTATAAAGTCTTATCTTTAACAAAATACCGTCTCGATCTGTTCTGCACAGACAGCTTTATGGATACTAATTTGGCCTTACCCTCTAAGTGAATTAAGAGTTTGATTGTTAATTTATTTGTTTGAATTCTTTGAGTTAAGTATTGGATGGTCTATTTATTGAGGCAAATTAATGCTATATAATATAACGTCACGACAAATAAAAGCCGAGTATTAATGATAAATGTTGTAAATTCGAGGTAAATTTATTCCTGGACGCGGAGGGACGTGCGAAGTGCGCGGGCCAGCTAGTCGCACCGTCTACGCACCGTCGATAACGAGTTTAATATTACATTTGTCTGCAAAAAAACTACTGACTCACTTGAACACTTGATAATAAATTCCATTATGTTGGATAATAAGGACAGATGCGAATGGACACCTCCTTTGTAGGTATGGCGTGCACTAAAGCTGTACTCGAGAAAAAGGATACTTTCCGCATTTAGCTTGGTAAGAACCGGACTTCTTTTATTTATTTAGCCCGTCATAAGAATTGAATTGAAAGCAAAACATTTTTCTAGAGAGATGGATTTCCTCCTTAATTTCATGCCCCAAAGAATTATCTTGCATGAACAGAGGCGGCAGGGATGCTTGACAGAAGATATCTGCGACATGTTTGGCAAGCCTTAACTAAACGAGTTCCCAAAGGGAGGCCAGTTTCTCACCAATAGTACCGATGTAACAAACAAATTTGAAGATTGTCAAAAGAGGTACTAATTTATGTATTTATAAAGGTAAATGAATGATCATTGGTGTGCACGTACGTCCTTGAAATTATAGTAAAAAAATAGATTGAAAGCGTCCCTGTAAATGTTATTTACATAACTATAACAGTTTAAATTAATGATAAATCCACTAAAGTAGTCCATATTACAAAATACTTTAATAACAAACAATTCAAATTAAAAAAAAAACATAATGTTATGCATACAAAATCATATGTTATAAATTCAAAAGTAAGAAGGCTATAAATAATTAAACACACGTTGAATACCATTTCATAGTCCCGGGTGGACATATCCACACAGATATCCTACCGTTGAAGGAGTTTTTAACCGTTGATGTAATAAAAGCTTGTTTTTTTCCTGACCAAGCTGTTAACAAGTCCTTGTCATAGTAATCGAGGTTTATCATAGAATTGGCGTTTCTAACTTTCACAAAATTAAAAACATCCTCTGTTAGACAGTATACCAGTGTTAAATAAAGAATAATCATAATACTTTGTCTTGAATACATCATTTATAGTATAATTGTGAATCAAAAATGGGATAAAAAAAAAACTTGAGAATATAAGGGTATTTGATTGCTACTAACGATAATAAATCACAATTGAACGGGGAAGAAAGGAAATGGATAGAAACTGAGCAGGTATTTTATACTTCTTTTTTTAATTGTTTTATACTTTCTCACGAGCCATAATTGTATTATGAAAAGATATTTTAAAAACTAACTCTGAATAGATTGTGGCGTGTTTTTCAAAACGTGTCTGTTAATTCGCATTGTTAATATTCCCATACACTAAATATTAAATCCTGTTTCTACATAAATATAAATAAATAATAATACTCCTTACTGTTAAATTATTGGACACTAAAAATCGTTCAACCATAAATTCGGTTTAAAGATATCTATACGAACTAGAGTTTTTTTGAAAAAAAATTGTACACAATTACGGTGTCATTTTGTATAAATTAAAAGTTCTCCCCGAAGATACCTATAAATGTAATGAAATGATATTTATGTAATATAAATATCATTTCATTACATTTCGATAAAAAGACAACTTCTTTTTACCTTCGGGGAGAACACTTTCACCCTGGATAGGACCTGATTAGGCGTGGTGTCGATTCGGGGAAGACCTAAAATCACATGCTTTGGGTCCTCTCAGGGCGCCTGAGGCCGGTTTTGAGTGGAATCACCACATACGCCTGGCTCCCTAAGTTGCAAAGGAGAAGCCTTCTATTTTCTAAGCCGTCAACAAAAAAAGGCTACTGTTTACGGTAATACATACGGACGACATACGGCCCAGCCACGGGCAAAAGTTAGTTTCCTTTCATCATCATCATCATCATCATCAACAGCCTTTAATGGTCCACTGCTGGACATATGCCTATACTTAGAAAGGAGGTTATGGCCTACTATACCACGCTGGCCAGACGGGTTGGCATAGGGTTTGTTTCCAGTCCTACATGTCGGACCACCTCAGGGAAGTGTTGGACGCTAGCCTGGCGTCCGGACGCTTTCCTGAGCGCTGGAAATGCGGGAAGCTGGTCCTGCTGCAGAAGCCGGGACGGCCTGCCGAATCGGTCGCGGCCTATAGGCCTATCGTGTTGCTGGACGAGGCGGGTAAACTTTTTGAGAGGGTGCTCTCTGCCCGCATGGTCCGGCACCTCTGCGAGGTTGGCCCCGATCTGTCGGACGCCCAATTCGGTTTCCTAGAGGGGCGTTCGACGATCGATGCCGTGATGCGCCTTAGGGCCGTGACCGAGGAGGCTGTGAGCTGCGGCGGAGTGGTGTTGTCGGTGTCTTTGGACATCGCTCCATGGCCGGTAGCGACAGTTGTTTTACCGCGGTCGCAACCTTCTGCGAGGAGGTAATCTCGCAGAAGAAGGCGGCGGAGAAGGCCCGGGAGGACGACCTCCACTCGGACCTGATGCGGCATGAGGCGCGCTCATGCCGCCCTGAGTGTGGCCGCGGGTGGACGGGATGGGTTCTCCCCTCCACCCGCATTAGTTTGGCCAGCCGCGAGGGGGCGGCGTCCGCGTGTGCCGGACGTCGCCTAAAGAGAGGGTCCACTGAGACGGAGCCCGCATCAGGAGCGGGCCGGCACATAATCTCACACATTATATCTCACACATTTCACACACGGCCGTCTGATCCCAAACTAGGCAGAGCCTGTACTATGGTAACCAGACCGCTGATAAACATACTTATATATTTTTAAATACATACATATTATAGATAAATTACACCCATACACAGAACAAATGACCGTGCTCATCACACAATATTTGTCCTGGGTGGGAATCGAACCCACGACCTCCGGCTTAGCACTTAGGTCAGAGTCACTAACCACTAGACCAACAGGCCCGTCAAAGTTTCCTGTAAGTCAGACAAATTAAAGGTCATACAACCACATTCCCAATCAAAACCTGATCACGTTAAGTATTCATATCCACATTGTTCATAGTCCACATGATTCACATAGTTACAGAATTTTTACAAAGTATTTCTTTTTCAAGAACTTAAAATATAAATTCTTTAGTTAGCGGTTCAAAGTGCATGTCACACCTCAGATCGCTAGTTAAATGATTAGCTTTTGCTATCGTAGAACGGACTCTGAGAGTAAAAAGAAAAAATTACCTCTTCTGCAACAAACGTCTCCAGGTCCTCTCTTCTTTGTGAATGTAGTGTTACCTTAACCCATATTTTGCATAAAAATATATTTTAATGTATTTATAAAATATTCCTCTCATGAATAAAGCACTTTTCAAAGAGAATACGAACCAGATACTAGATAAAGAAATCAAACTACTTAATTTCATACAATTCACTTTAATAAGTAAATAGAAAACATTGGAAGTAATGTCGCGTCACTCGTTGCAGTCATAGAAATAAGTTTAGTAATCGCTGTCTACACAATATCCCGACCGTCGGACTTGACCTGCTGGACAATGGCCAACACGAACACCGTTGCGGTCTTCTAATGATGGTGTAAAATCTGCAAGAGGTGCTACTTCTTCGATGTCCTCTTCGGAGACAGGAAACACAATGTTGGTTTGGTTTTCTTTATCCTGGTCGTCGATGTTGTTCTTCGGAAATGAAGTTGGTGGATGCTTTTCTGCTTTATATCCCACTGTATTTTCAACGGTAATACCTTTAGAATCCAGTGGTTCTAAGCTGACTGAATGGTGTCTCAATACGTGAGCATTGATGGAGACGACAAGCGTCAGGCAGAGAGTGATCTTCACACACATATTTGAATACATAATTGTAATATTAATGTGTGGAATAACCACTTGCCTTGTGATAACTGTAAAGCTACCCAATCCATAGCGCGTTTTTATACTCATCCAGTGACGCAAGCTTATTATCCTCCTAAACCAACTGACGTATAAAGAATACTGCAATATTATAATAATTGTTTATTTTCTTTTGCCTCTTTCCTGTTTATTAATAGACGTACGTCAACAGTAATTATATGTCACATACAATATTGATAGTTAATTTTGTACTGAGCAATTCAAACGTCAAGCAATATAACGATGAATTGTGATGAGTTGCAATACCATTGGGAACTGTGATATCTCTTAACCTTAAGATTATTGTTGGTTGATCTTAAACAACATTTGCGTTAGTAGTTTTCAACCTGAAGTCAATGTTGCACTGAGATTTTGATGTTGCTGCTCAATATTTAAAACCCATTTTATTTTATTTATGCAAGTATTTAAATCAAAGCCTTCCGAGGCAAATAAACAGAAAAACTTTCCCACTAACTCTTCTAGGCTTAGGACAAAGGAAAAAAATGGCGAGATGACAAGATGAAACATGGCAACTAGCGAACTGCACGGATAGCGTAGTGGTTTAAGCGGTCGCCACGCCGGTTACTACTACGCTGAGTGTTGTGGGTCCGATCCCCACAAAGGACGACACTTTGTGCGATCCACAAATTGTTGTTGTGAGTTTGGGTGTTCTTTGTGTCCGTTTCATGTATGTTTATAAAGTCCCTAAATATTCCTAATGCGGGAGTTGTCTTTTTATGAAGGTGTCAAAAGGGACCACTAAACCTTGGCCCTTACTCAGAAGCTAACCAACTTGAATGAGGTGTGTAGTTGAAAATAGGTATATTTAATTTGTTTTCTAGAATATTATTGGTGATGTGTTCTTTTACCCTAAGTTTATATCACTAACCTGCACTTTAGGCGCTTAGTGGAAAAGGTGTATTTTACATAAAACAACTTGGCCGTGATGAGTTAAATAAACGAGATTTTCACAATACCTATTTACCATCATTAAATTCAAAGGGATCTATTCCTTCTGATTCCTTGATATATTTTTAAGGAAATTGATGATTATATCCCCATGAATAAACATTACATGCTGTTATGTAAAACCCAAACAATTATCTTCCTAGTGCATGTGTGGTCAGGATGCTTTACAGAAATTTCCCTGGAAAGCCTTGCCGAGAATTGACCGAAATTCCGGCAGGGAGATGGTCCAGTCTCTTACCAATTGCATGCACGGATTGCGTAGTGGTTTAAGCTTGTGATAGTACTACAATCACGTAATTATAAAACTTCACATAAATGTTATTTTAAATAAGTAATGTTAGAAAGTTATCTACACGTGCATTTAAGGTCCAGACGAACAAAAAGCAGACCCTAATAAATAAGTGAACTTTATGATCTCAAGTATTGCGAAGTGGATGACGGCCCATTATGAACAAAAGACTTATTGCGTTCTTAAGACGAATACCATAAAAAAAGGGAATAGCCAAGGGTCCACGATAGCAATTAAAGACGGGCACATGTGCAAGACAGCACACGAATAAGCGTGAGAAAAGCCCTTAGTTAGAAGTCCTTTTGGGAACGATAAGGAATAAGGAACAGGGTAGTTGGTCTTGAGTAGTGAGACCAGTCGGTCGGTCTTAGGAGCTAGGAGGCAGAGGTTGTTCGTCAAAAAGCTGAACGTGCTCGGACGCGCGTATTGCAGTTAGTTTGAGTAAGTTAAATATATAGAACGTTGAGGACAGCTAGGTGAGTCTTTATGGGTTATTATGTTTAGGATAATTATTATATTATACATCTTTATATTCCGGTCTGAGTAACGTAGTATTAATTAATAATTTAGATGTAGTTTCCATGCAGTTTCTCTGCTAAATTTTACTTACGCATTTGGTATTGGTTAAGATATCTTGAATGTGATAGAATGATTAGTGACCCCTTTATAGTGCTCTACAGTGTGGTGAATCGAGGTATAACTGAGGCGATACGACCACCTTGGTTGATCAGATCAACCAGGCCGCGGTCCTTGCTACACGGTTATCCTTCGGTGACCTGTCATTGTGGTGTATTTAGGAGGAGGTTAGTGTAGGTTCAGTGAGTGCCGTGTACTTGAGTGGAGAGTGTCTTAATGGGCTTGTCCTGGGTGGTCGGTTTGCGGGAAAGCACTGATGCTGTTGATGAATTGATGGAGATCGAGCGGTCCGAGTCCGCCGTCGGCGCACGCGTTGTGTCCGGTAGCATAAGGGTTAATGCCACATCAGACGAGCAGTATTCATGTGTCTGACCTTGCGGCCTTGAGCATTCAGTTGTAGAAGTTGATTGACTCACTTTAAGCTTGAGTGCACAATGGATGGAAGCCTGATAGGATAAGCACAACCAATACCAATGTATTTAATTATTTCATTTAGACTTTGATTCCCTCTTATCGCGGTCTTTTGTTGTTTATTCGAACGTTAAATAGCCAGTGGGAAGATGTCCAGTCAGGGTCGAGTCTTACAGCCTGGCGCGGTTGGAGGAGCGTTAGACCTCCCCCACAGGGAGGGGAGCTGGCTACGTGTTTTATAGTTGAAAAACTGCTTTACTCAGGCTAGGGTTATTTGAGGTACCATCACAAGCTGTCACCTCGCTACCTACTGCGCTGAGTCATGGGTATCGATCCTCACATGGGACAACACTTTGTGTCATGCACACATTGTTGTTCTGAGTCAGGGTGTTCCTTGTGTCCGTTAATGTATGTTTGTAAAGTCCGACACAGGATATATTCCTCGTGAGGAAGTTGTCTTTTTAAGATAAAAGGAAATCAAGATAAGAAACAAATTTGAGGAGCTTTGTAGGTACTAAATTGTGTATTTGTAGGTACAAAATTGTGTGTTTATTAACTTATTCTTGTGAATCTATACCTGGCTGAGCTTGAAATTATAGTTTAAAAATAGATTGTCGGCGTCTCTGTGAGTCTCATTTACATCGTTATTACTGTTTTCATAATGTAAAAGCTATTAAAGTAGTCCTTTAAACAAAATACTTTAAAAACAAGCAATTACTTGTAACTTTTGAGTAGCAGGTGTCCATGGGCGGCGGTAGTTGCTTACCATCAGGTGATCCGTCTGCTCGTTTGTAATCGTATCGTAATAGTCAAGGATCACAGAATAGGCTTTTCTATCGTGCACAAAATTAAAGACATATTCTGTTAGGCAGCATACAATGCCTAATACAATAATACCTATATAGCAATACCCAATACAATATCCAATAATCCTTAACACCTTTGCTTGAATGCATAATTGATTTGCGATTAAATATATCCTTTAAAAAAAAGTTGAACCCACTTCAAACAATACTGACAAAGAGCACTAAAAATTTAAAAATAATTACAAATCTAAGTAAAAAAATCTCTTCTTCTTCCCATCCTTGACTATGGCGATGTCAGCTACCTGGATCTGACCGAAGAACCAACTGAATAAACTTGAGCGACTCCAAACCTCTGTATTAGATTCATATTTGGTTTACGCAAGTATGATCACATCTCAGAGTATCTTTCCAAAATCAAGTGGCTCCATATTCTTTCTCTTTTATAAAGTGTTCTGTTTCATCCTCACACACCCTCTTATCTCAAAGAACGTTTTAAGTTCCTACACACCACACATTGCAGGAACCTGAGGTCATCGGAGAATTTAAAACTAAAGATGCCAAAACATTCCACCCAGTTTGCAGACAAATCTTTCACTGTGCAAGCAGTAAGACTCTGGAACAACTTGCCTGAAACAATCTGACAAGCTAAAACTTTGCCTGTTTTAAAAAAAATATTAAAGGTTTGTTATCTGTCATTATAAATACTGTTCTGATTCAACTATTTAATATATTATAATTTTCCAAATATGTATGGGTATGTGTCTATGTATAAATGTGTATTTGTAAATGTGTAATGTCCATAGATATGTGTTTGTTTATGTTTATGAATATTTTTAAATATTCACTAATAATACTACCCTTATTTTTTCTCTCTGCGGCAATCCGCAGCAGCAGTACCGGTGGCAATGTCGGACTCGAACCGACTAAAATTGCACGCCGTCTCAGGTACCAGTAGTCGGGAAACCAGGTGTACCCTAGAAAGGAAATCCCTGGTGCTCGACGTACCTCGGGCCATCTACGGCGGGTAGACGACCCCCCTGTGTGGGAACCCCCATGTTCCCTCTGTGCTCCCGTAAGGGCGCGCGCGCTTCGCAACGCGTTTGCCGCCACCCCGGCCTGCTTCTGCTAGGGTGACAGATGGCCTCACCTGTCACCCCCAGGCCTGCGCTTATGGAGGACGGAGGTCGTTCTGCGACCTCCGGAGCCTGAGTCGTCTGCGGTACCTGGCCCGTTCTCTCCCTCCCTCTCCTGGTCTCGCTCCGATATCTCCTTCGCAAGCATAACTTGCTCGCAGAAGGAGACGGCAAAAGTCTCGGTCCGCACGATAGTCGCAATCAGGTTATTGAGCGAGAGAACTCCCACTCCGGATGGCCGCTACGAGGTCTCGCCTCTGCTCCACCCATGCCGGCTGTCTGAATGTATACTACCATAGCACTGTTAAAAAACCTAAAATCCGTGTTAAGGTTGTCTAGAAGAGATCGCTGTGAGCGATAAGACCGCCGATTGTTACGTTTACTTATTTCTTACTCATCTTTTGTTATTTTCCTATTAAAGTGTATACAATAAAGATCTAAATAAAAAAATTAAATAAAATAAAAAACCTCCTTCCTAAGGAGAGGCCTATGTCCAGCAGTGGACTATTAAAGGCTGTTGATGATGATGATGATAATTAAAATCGATTGTAAATTCAAATACCGGAATACCAGACTTCTATTTCAGTTGAAATTTTTACTGTTTACTTAAAAATTGATTTCTAAATTCCGTTACTAAATATACCAATCATAAGTTCAACACTAATCTTTAATTAACGTTATTCACTTAAATATTAATTGAGAAAATCAAACCAACTTACATTCATACAATTCACTTTAATAAGTAAATAGAATACATTGGAAGAAAAATTTCGCGTCACTTGTTGCACAGGTCATAGAAAAAAAAATTATAATCGCTGTCTACACAGTATCCTGATCGTCGGACTTGACCTGCTGGACAGTAACCAACAAGAAAGGCGTTGCGGTCTTCCAATGATGGTGTAAAATCTGCAAGAGGTGCCACTTCTTCGATGTCCTCTTCAGAGTCAGGAATCACAACGTTGGTCTGGTTCTCGTTATCCTGGTCGTCGATCTTTGAAAATGAACTTGACAGGTGCTCTTCTACTTTATATCCGACTGAAGTTTTCAACCGGCAATGCCTTTAGAATCCAGTGGTTCTAAGCTGATTGAATGGTGTCTCAATACGTGAGCATTGATGGAGACGACCAACGTCAGGCAGAGAGTGATCTTCACACACATATTTGAATACATAATTGTAATATTAATGTGTGGAATAACCACTTGCCTTGTGATGACTGTAAAGCTACCGAATCTTTATGGTGCTTTTATACTGATCTAATGACGTAAGCTTATTATCCTCATAAATGAACTACCTTGTAATAAATACTGCAAAATTTTAATAACATGTTTAATTTTTCTTATGTCCCTTTCCTGTTTATTAGAATAAATACATCAACCGTAATGATGTGTCATATAAAGTTTTAAATATTAATGTTGTATTAAGCAATTTAGAAGTTGCATATCAAGCAACAGTCCGATGGGTGAGTAGCCTTACCGTTAGGGCATTCTACCCTGAACATGACTTTTAATATTATGGAGTGTCTTTTATCATTATTAAATAGGGAATTGGTCTTTATTTTTTAATTTGTCAATGAATGTACCTCTTGAATCACTTCTCTCTATAAAGTAATTAAAGTATTTACAACATTAACACTATTTGACATTTCCCATCACGAGAAGTGTCGACCAGTTGCTTAGTTAGTTGTTTATACATAGCACGAGCACTCAGACCCCATGACTCTAGCGAGAATTATATATTTTGGTATTTACGCCTTTTGAGGGTTTCTGTGGATGACACAGCAGCGCCGTCATAACAAGCTGTGCTTGACAGAATGTGATTTCGCAAGGGTATCGACACAAGTTGCGTCCTACACCAAACTTTTACCCATCTTCAATGGCAGCAACGACATACCGTCTCATCCCATCGTCTCGTACCTGATCATTGAGTTCACGTACAGCAGTAACGCAGGCGGTAACAAGGGCACGACGAAATAATATCGTTAATATTGGCATTTCGAGATGTACGGCCAGCGCTTCAAGAAATGTCATGATGTCCAAGACCGTCAACAGCTTCTCCGCAGTGATGAAGATGCGGAGTAACACAAGAAGCATCTAACCGAAGACAAGTGGCAGGCGAAATGTGGTATCGTCCAATAAGGTGCCTATGTTGGGCTATTCCCATTCTCCCACCAAACGAGCGCGTTAAGCAAGATTTTCTTTAATTATTGAATGTTCAAATTTCAGGTTTAAGATCATTTATATCTCAAAAAACAAAAATATTACAGTTGTATTAACTTAGCTGCTAATTTAATAATTAATAATTTTTGTATTTAAATTAAGTGTATAGTGTTACTAAAAATAGTTTATAAGTTTACTAATTTTAAATATAATTAATTTTAATGTGAGTCCTAGTCACTGGATTAAATAAATAAACAAAAAAAATTGAAACAAAATAACAAAGGTGTAACTTTTTCTTTTTTTATGTTAGAGGGGGCTACTTCTTTATTTAAATCTAAGGCTTCAGATGCAAACGAATAGAAAAACTGTCTAAGTTTTCTTTTGAGATGGAAAGCTCAAATGTGGCAATACTTATGAAGGTGTTAAAAAGGACCAAGACTTTAGAGCTTCCTCAGAAGTTAACTTACATAATTGGATGAGGAGTATAGTTGAGACAAATCTTCATTTGTATGGCAAACAAGCAGACGGGTCACCTGATGGAAAGTGAATACCGTCAGGTGACCCGTCTGCTGCTTACACTGTTACCGTTACCGACACCTCTGTATATAAGTGTCGACATATATTGGCCCCGTTTACACGAGAGGTGATTTTTTGTTGAAATACATTGATAATATAACTATATATAATATTAACATATGTTATTTCTATGGTTAGATTGCGCAAATTAATTATTATAAGTAAATACATCGACAATAATTTATTACGAATCTAAAATGTATCCTATAACTATTTATACAAAGAATGAAAACAACATACAACATAGATATTTATTGATGTTTAAATTTTCAAGTTTTCACTTCCGTCGGCACTCCCGGAGTGCCACTGTTTTTTATTATTATTATATTGTTACTACCGCCACCCATGCAGTGTATGAGTGGGTTGCAGTAGTCTCAGCCTGACACGATGTGTACTTTGACCACTTTCTCAAGACTAACTGACTACCCGCAAGCTGACTGCTAAACCGGAGATCGTAGATTCGATTCCTACCCAGGACAAATAATTGTGTGATAAGTACGATCATTTGTTCTGTGTCTGGGTGTACTTTATATGTATGTATTTATAAATATATTAGTATCTTGGACAGCAATCTTGTTACCTCTGCTAGCTCTGCGGCTCTGCCTAGTTTGGGATCAGACGGCCGTGTGTAAAATGTGTGAAAATATTATTATTATTATAGTGAAAACGGTCACCGCATCTATATACAGGTGTGTTGAAAAAACTAGTTATTTACAATACCCACTTACCTAGTCATTATATCGTACGTGAATACCCTTATAACAAATAAATAATATTTTCCAAGAACTTCGATGGTTATATACCTATGAATAAATATTACATGATGTTATGTTACAATGACTAAACAGTCAATTACTATCCTAATAATTACATCAACATTTTCTAATTTTGTATTTAACAATTAAATAAGACACTATAGTAAAAATAATAAACGCTGTATTATTCAGTTAGACAGATTGCATTTGTATTTATTACATAGAGTAAAGAAAAATATCACATCACATCATATCAACAGCCTTTAATAGTCCACTGCCGGACATAGAAAAATATATTGCACTTAAATGTTTAAGGTCATACAACCTTACTCCGTATAGCCTGTATACCGAAAACAGTGGATAAAACTACTTCACAGTATGCATTTCCGTGTCATTACATACCATTAGTAGTTTTGTTCACAGTTCGTTTTCAGAATATAGTAAATTTGTCTACAGACTTTAGAACAGTGACTAAGACTCCGTAATTTAGATTTTCTCAAATTACTTTCATATTAAGAGAATCTTTGTGTGCTTTTTTAAGAACATTTCACGAACAAAGAAGTGTGTTGTAACATTTTAATTTAAACTTAGAAGATAATTAAGTGTGCGAAAAATCAAGCCATTTATTTTAAAATCTGCTACATATTTAAACGTTAGGCGAAAATGGCTGACTCAGACTACTTGTTTAGGTATGCTCATCTTTCATAGTACATAAATCGTATATTTAATGCTAGTTCAAGTTACAGTTCCCCCATCCGAAATAAATCAAAACATGTAAAACTTAACGACCTTATGATTCTTATTCGACCACGAGACCAGACGATTCCTAGTTAGTATTAAATTTCATTTAAATTATTTCATGGTTTTATTATGTTTGAAAATTCTTTTACTAAAATTAGAACTATTATTAAAACTAACAAACAACTAGCCTTGCCGCCGTACTATGACACCATAAAAAAAAATTGACGTTGTGTCAATGGAGTTATGAGCATATTATATACGTTGGCCGCCACCGTGATTCAGGATTTGTCTTCGCATAAATATACAAGATTAAAAAGAATAGTCCTATCGTGAAATAACCATGCTTAGTCACATATGGGCTGACTCAAATGGAGGTTTGGCTTTTGCCTCACAGAGAACCGGTGTTAGAAATTTGTTTCCTGCTTTTTACCAAGTGAGTCAGATTACTAGGGACTTCCCCCTTCGCCCCCAAACTCTATGATTCTGTTGAGTTGCAGGTGTCTATAGGCGGCGTCAGTGACTTACCATCACATAACCTTTCTCTTCTTTTGTCCCCTGTGCCAGAAAAAAGAATTGTAGGTTTACCGACTTTACAGCTAAATGTGTTAGTTTATTTGGACTTTGGTATTAACAGGTTTAATTCCCAACAAGCATGAGGTGTTTTGAGGGTTTCTGATGTGTACCTGAACAATAAAATCCCATGACGAAATACTGTGTTGTTTTAGTCGATGTCTCTCTGTACTATAGTAATCAGATCGCTGATGAACATACTTATATATTTCTAAATACGTTAAATTATACCCACACACATAACAAATGATCGTTCTCATCACACAATTATTTGTCCTGGGTGGGAATCGAACCCACGACCTTCGGCTTAGCAGTCAGCTCCACTAACCACTAAACTAATAAACCAGTAGGATGATGGCACTGGTGGGTTCACACAAAAGATAAACTTAAAAAAAATGTAAATTTATATAAACTTAGCATTGTCTGAAATTTGCACTTGGTTGCACGTCATGTCTTGTTTCTTTGATTCACTTCTTATTAATATTTAATTAATGCATTGGTACTGGTATTATTAACGTAACTAAATTGTTGTCATCGCAAGTTCAATCCGCTATAAATTACACTAACTAATTACACAAAAAATTATAACTTATTAAATGTTATAAATTTTATTTTAAACAGTAATCAAATAAGTCTTGTTTGATTACCATTTAGCAAAAAAATATTGTTTTGTTATATTTATACACATCAGCAGCCTTTAAGTGCACTGCTAGACATAGGCCTCTCCTTAGAAAGAAGGTTTTGGCCTACTATACCACGCTGGCCAGACGGGTTGGTATAGGGTTTGATCAAGCTTTCCTTTTTTTTTGTAGTGCTGATGTCCTGCGTTGTTTTGCGCCCGTCGGCTCTTACGACACTTACACACATAAGACCATTTATGTTTATACATTAGACCATAATCTAAAACGGCACTAACTACTTCATAAAAGCCAGTACATGCTATTCTAGTAGGAAATACATAATATTACTCAGGTTCAAATAATTTATTCTAAAAAAAGACACGTATTATGACATTTACATGAGAACTTATTTTAACTTAAAAATAACAGTTTCATACAATGGTCGTCTGAAACATTTAGATATTTAGTGAAATTAAAAAATATATTATTATTGAAGTTACAAAGAAACAAAAAAAAATCTTTTAAGTGAGAAGCGAGCGGTTGTTTATAATGTAATAAGATACTCTGGACTTAAATGGGCTAAATGTGCTAACATTTCTTATACATATATGAGGTAGATTTACATAGTAAATTAGTGAAGGAATACATAAAAGATGATGTAAACAATGTATATCTGATATCTTCTTTTGACATATATCATTATTCTTATATGATTTTGACATGTTATAGTTGCTTTTTATAATTCCTTTTTTTTTTTGTATTATTTAACTTTAGGATTGATAAAACAATCCTTAAGTTAAATAATACTTAATTGATATTTAGAAGAGTGACACAACCAGGTAGTCTTTTTTTATTCTATTAAATTTATTTTAAATTTTTGCGTGTAAAAAGATTCAACTTAATATGGTAAAACTCGCTGTAAAAGAAAAAAATGTGAGTTGACATAATACTTATTTTTTAAACTGAATCATTTAAACATTAAATGACTAAAAAACGTATTTAATACTTTTGGAATCAAGTCCAAAAGTGGGTAGTACGTAATAATAATGACTATATTCCGTGACCTAATTCTTTGCAATTAATCACTCGTGGACTTTAATTCCAACCAAAAGAGGATAAAAAGTGCTGTACGGTGACTGTACATCGGAAAATAATGGAAAATACATGGACATAACTAGGAGTGAGGTCGTTGATTCCAAGTCTTATTAGAATGTAAAAACACTGTCTGGTCAGTGTTCAAATAACAATAATAATATAATCAAAGCAAAATTAAAGTAGTAATTTATTGTCATTATATTACGATATATATATGTATATATACACGAGTATACATATAAAATTACTACTTTAATGTTGATTTCATTATATTATTATTGTCATTTGAACACACTTTTGTTTTTCAAATAACGATAATAATATAATGTACATATATGTAAGTAACTAACTAACTAACAAAGAAAACAAATGTTAGAATTTTTAACCTACTTTTAGGTGAAATTTTGTTAGTTATTTTTATCGGGATAAAAAGCCTAAATGTTGTTGCATACAGTAATCTGTATATCTGATAGTGAAATAGACCAGAAGGACAATCTAGATCAAAATACCTAGTTTTTACACCCAGTTGAGTTCAACAGTGCAAATACTAGGTTTTTAGAAATAAAACAACTCTATTTTGATCTAGGTTGTACATCTGGTCGATTTTATTAACAACAATTCGGGTTTATATGGTGCATTCGGTAACAGAACCATACTGCAATTCGGCGAAACGGTACAACGCCCTCTATCGAGGTTGGCCTCAAACATTTATTATACAATGTTATGAAACCGATATCCTGACCTTAAATAAATGACTCTATTACAGTGCACATTATGCAATGCATATTAAGAACATTATGCAATTCCAGTTTGAATTCAAAGCCTTTTTTATTATATTTTCCCAAGAAAGTACTTTTTCAATAGCGAAATAAAAGTTGAGAATCATCATCATCATCATCAGCCTATCGCAGTCCACTGCTGGATATAGGCCTCTCTAAAGTTGAGAATAGGCAGTGATAACATTGATTTGAAAAGTATCTACTCGTTTGTTTAAGACAAGGCATTCCAACACTAGTGAGAAACACTTTATGTCACTTAAGTAATATTTATTAAAATAAAAGAAAAAAAATACAATTTATAATTTTTTTATTAATAAGATAGACAGTACATTATTTTCTCTTGTTTGTTTATTATTCTGTCTTGATAGAGCGAGATCAGATTTGAAAGCACTACATGCCGGTGGAAACTCGAAAGAAGATTTAAATTTAGCATTTATATTTGACAAAGGATATCACATTCTATAGTCACAGTCACAGGATATTATATTCAATAAAAATACTGAATTCGGCACATACATCTGAAACGACAGTTTCAAAACACAATGTAGCATTGGTTTATTCTCAAAACTTACATATGTTTCCCAATTTTTTAAATTCTGGTTTGATTTAATAGTCATACGTATCGTCATTTTCTGATCCTCTTCCTGCAATGCAAAAATCACCTTGTCTTTTATATCTATATGGACATCTACATACTAGGGTTCCTTCACGATATGCAAAAACAGAAGACTCTGTCACGATACGTTGCGCGTGTGTACGCGTTGGGACTCGGAATACCTCAGTCGTAGAGGTTGGTAAACGAGTTGGGACCTTCAGTTCTTTTGACATAAAAGTATTTTCATCAAGACCGACAACTGCGCTTGCCAATGGGTAAAACTGACCTCGGTGATATCTTACAGTTCTGGCGTTGACACAAGCAAAAAGCGCAAGAAACAAATTTAATTTCACACATATTATTGAATACATTATTGTAATATTAATGCGTGGATTCACTGCAAGTCTTAGAAGAACTATGAAGAACCATTGTTGGTTCTGATCTTTTATAGATTATAAATATTGACGTAATACATAATATTTTACAAAGCAATCGATTCCCACCCTAACAATGTAATAAGGCGCTTTGTGTAATTTCTAACAAGAAAAGTCTATAAACATTTTCTGCCTTGTTTCGGTTAACTTTCATTCATTTGTACCATGTATGAATGCCAACTAGATTAAAAAGCCAGAGTAGCCCATGTAGAAATATTTTTTACATGGGCTACTCTGTATTAAATGCTTTTCCATTTCTTCATTAAAAATAATCGAAATGGTTGCTACGGTTATCTCAAAAATTGCTGTATGTTATCTCAATGTATTACATAAAGCGTCCTTGTGGTGACGGATTAAGAATACAGAGTGTCACCACCCCTATTTATCTCGTGGGTGTCGTAAGAGGCGACTAAGGAAGCAAACTACGCAGGACAACAGCACTGCAGAGAGAAGGAAAACTTGAAACAAACCCTATATCAACCCGTCTGGCCAGAATGGTATAGTATGCCAAAACCTCCTACCTAAGGAGAGGCCTATGTCCAGCAGTGGACTAGTAAAGGCTGTTGATGATGATGATGATGATTACATAAAGCGACTATTACTTTGCTTAGATGTAAGCCATATACAACAGAAGCTTCACATAAACTTACTCCATATGTATTATCTCTTTAAGCTTCTTTAAGCATTCAAGGCCCAAAAAAACCGAACATACAAATTTGAAAACAAAATATCTGTATTTAGTTAAGTAAACTGTCTTACCATCAAGAAATGGTTTATTTTAACTAATACTGATTCGTGATCGTGAAAATTGTTTTTAGCGTTCAGTCCTTTATTTATTTCAAACTTAAAGCACCTGTTGTACAAAGGCGGACTTAATGCGATAAGGCGCTCTCTCCTCAGAAGTATAATTACGTTGTGGGTGGGATATTCGCCATATCCAGCCTACTTAGAATCTGTTGGCTTCCCACGACGATCACTAGACATTTGATTGGATTTACCGGTAAACCAAACCTCGTAGACCAGCACTTTATATGATCTTTATTAACTTTATTGATTGCGTATGTCCTTAAACCTTGACTGTGTGTACACTTGTAACTCAAAGGCGTACAGGTGATACGTACATTGAAGGTATTGGGCTACGAGATTAAATAATATTGAAAACAATAAGGGAGATAATATACCGCCTTGAGAGACGCCAATGAGGACATCACACCAACACCACGACAAGTCATCAGTGTGAATAGACTGTTGTCGGACCTAAAGATAGCTGGAAAACTATACCAGAGCTTCTGAGGAGATCATAAGATAGGAATCAATGGTCAGTAGGACGTCGTAGCAAACGGTATTAAAGACATTCGAGAAGTCAGTCAAAGCTAAAACTGTAACTTTGGTATCCGCCATACCTTCCCTAATATCGCCAGTCACTTTGCGGAGAGCGTTGATTGTGCTGTGACCGGGGTGAACTCCGTTTGTAAAGAACTAAGAAGATTCTGCTGGTATACAAACTGTGACAGCTGTTTATGTACACAAGCCTCAAGCGCCTAAGAAAGAAAGGGGTTATAGAAATTTGACAAAAGTGTTCATCGAGAGAGGGGTTAGTTTTTTTGGGTAAAGGGATAATGAAAGCCTTACACCATAGTAAAGTAAAGGTGCCAGAGTTAAGTGAAAAGTTAATGATGTGCGATATTGCTGGAAAAATGTGATCCAGTATAATGACACACATGTGACAGCTGATGCTGTCACATCCTAGAGCATTGGAACGAGTGGATAGGATAATCTTTTTGATACCCTCAGAAGATGTCGGAAAAAAGTTAAAGGATTCAATATCGGGGTGGGTTAGACTAGCAATATAGCTCAAGGTCTGACTCTTGGTTTAATGATCCAACTAAGGTGTAGATAAGAAGTTATGGATGATATCATCTAAACCAATTGTCACCTTAAACTCAGGGCGTTGTTATTTACCAATGCCAATTGATTTAAAGGAACTTCCACATACTGGAAGGTGAAGAGGTTTCTATGTTTTAAATTATGTCTGTTTATTTTGAATAACCCTAATAGGTAAATTTGTTGTGATCAAACAGCACTTGAACGTATTTCTCTTTTACAAATTACAATAATGTCATACCATAACTTATTTTTAACACTACTAAGGCTGCAAATGTCATGATGTGTCACCATTACTCGGTACGTTACCAATTTTGACTCTTAATAAAGGAGTGTCCATCTGCCATCTATCAATAAGGAGCCTTTTACGTAGATGTACTCATAATTCTTCTTAACTTACTTAACTTAATTATCTGTTTAAATATTATCAACGTTTCTGAAAGTTTGTATAAATAGCAGAATCTATGCATTAAAAATGACTTACCATGGCTGACCGATTCATCAAGGCCAAGCCGCAACTGATGGGGCTACAAAATTGAAATTTTGGTAGCTGATTCTTTTCATATTGTAAGCCCACTAAGAAATGATTTTTGGAAGTTTCACTCCTAAAGGGGTAAAATAAGGGATGAACGTTCAAAATTAAATACACGAAACAAGAAATAATTAAATTAAAAATATAGTTAAAATAGCGCAGGAAATAGCTAGTCTAAGCATATATGCTCAGGAGTCCCATACAGTCAGTTGATAACACTTTAACTTAATCGTAATAACAAATAAATTTATAAACAAGAATATAAAACCGTTAAGTCGCCTATATGAGTCATTACCCATTGAGTGTTCAATTGAGCAATACGTCATATTTGTATGGGTCTATTTTAACATGACTCTAGAAATGTTTACGCAGATTGTGTTGTGTTTAATGTTAGTTGCTTATGTCGAAAGTGGTGTCTCATCTACAGTAAGAAGAAAACCAGAGAAGTTTGAATTTGCTCTTCCACCTGAAGGGTTAACTATGGACTTAGTGATAAAGAATCGTGAAACACATGTGCCAGTTGCAAAAGTTAAGTTTGACATCAACGAACAGAATAAGAAAGTAGTGCTGTCCTTAGCTCCAGAGCCTGCTCCTCCTACTGTGTTACCTTCAGTGGATGATCGTAATGGTATCGCTGTGGGTACATGCCCAAGAGGATACACCAGAGCTGGTGCATTTTGTTTCAAGGATGACTACGATTATAATTAATATCATACTGAAAATGGAAATGTATTATCTCAAAATATTTTATGGAAATAAAAAGAACAGCATTAAGATTACTTTAGCAAACGCGTTGAGAAAAAAAACCCAGTGTGAAACAAGTGCAGCCATGTAAAGGAACGATTTCCTTATTGTTAATTTATTTATTGAAGTAATTAAGTAAATGCTTTATAAACATTTTTTTGTTTTATTATTTTGACATTCCTATAAGAATTATCATATACCTACATGATGTGTGTGTAGTACGGTCAATGAGTCAGACCGATTAGTAAGTACAGGAAATGAACAACATAATATGATATAGTATCACATCCTTTGAAATCCAAATAAATTTGACATTGATATTATATTTTTACAGTATAGCGTTAATGAAACATACGAACATACAGAGAAATTAAGGACAAAGGGAAATAAAATTGGATGGATTTTTTACAAATAAATTTCCATTTTGTTTCTTATAAAAGGTTTACTAGCAACCAAAATTACTAGTATTCCCGTTAACCACGCCCGTTAGGAGTGGGTTCACGTCGTTAGTGTACTGGTCAGAAACCGAACCCACGACCTCTTAATCGCAAGTGCAATGCCTTAACCACTAGGCTACCGCCGCTTATAAATTAAATACATTTGAAATGTTCGTATTAAAATTTATTATTATGTTACTATGTCTAGAGCATCAAAACTCCTAAATGAATAAATGAATTTTGTATAGCCAGTTACTATATTAATATGACTATGACTTGCACATCGCTTTTATACGGACAGATTAGGCCGCATCAGCACAAATCCAAACCCAAAAGAATAGTACTCTTGAGTAATCGATAATGTATTTTTATAGTTAGTGCTTTTAAGAGAATATTTATCTACTGACTCGATTCTGATAGTTCTCGATAAAAAATTAACAGCTTTTATAAGAATTACCGCGAGATAGTCGAAGGCAGAAAGTCAGTTTTCATTTACAAATATGAACACTTTTTGTTTTATGTATGCATTTTTACGCTATTCTTTACGCTATTTTGTATTTTTCTTTTCTCTTTAAAGTAACACTGTTTTTCATAATTTACGACTTGGTTTTGTTTTCAGGGTGCGATAATTCGGGAACACCGTCATCGCGGCGGTAAGACCCGTTATGGAGGATTGGCTCGAGAGGCGTCACGGGACCCTCTTATACCGACTGACGCAGGTGATCACTGGGAAAGGATGTTTCGGGGATCACCTGTGTCTGATCCGCAAGGAGCCAACGCCTGAGTGCCACCACTGCGATGGCCAGACCGTGGACACGGCTCTCCACACGCTGGCAGAGTGCCCGGCGTGGGTTCAGCAGAGGCGAGACCTCGTGGCGGCCATCGGAGTGGGAGTTCTCTCGCTCCATAGCCTGATTGCGGCTATCGTGCGGAGTGAGAGTGCCTGGAACTCTGCCATCTCCTTCTGCGAGCATGTTATGCTCGCGAAGGAGACAGCGGAGCGGGACTGGGAGAGGTACCGCAGCCGGGAACAGTACCCGGGAACGGGCCAGTTACCGCAGGCGACTCAGGCGCCGGAGGTCGCAGAACGATCTCCGTCCTCCATAAGCGCAGGCCTGGGGGTGACAGGTGAGGCCATCTGTCACCCTAGCAGAAGCAGGCCGGGGTGGCGGCGAGCGCGTTGCGAAGCACGCTCGCTTCCAGGGAGCAGAGGAAACATGGGGTTCCCACACGGGGGGGTCGTCTACTCGTCTGTAGATGACCCGAGGTATGTCGGAGCACCAGGGACTTCCTTTGTAGGGTATACCTGGTGTTCCATTACCTGGTTACCATAAATTTTACCGGTTCCTTTTTACAAACTTTTGTGGACGACACTTTTTCTAATATTATTACACCTATTATTACAATATTTATTACAATATTATAACTATAATTAAATTATTATTTCTATAATTATTAATGAACTTTACAAAAGAAATAAATAAAAAAAAATATTACAGATAGGCATGAGAAAGAGTAGGTAAATTTACACAAAGGGAGTTTCAATTAAATTAACCCGTCTCTAATCGTTTCCAAACCTACTTGCTGCATTACCGCGTTGAATGGCAATGGCTAACCTTTGCACCAAGAACGACCCGGAGCGGGAATCACCATTGACTTTATTAAAGTGAGTTTATACGCATACTGTGAGTTTATTATTTTTTTAATATTAAAAAATAAATATGTATTAATAAAACACACATGTAATCTTCCTCTTTATTATTATTACTATTAATTTGGGTATTTTAAATATCCAGTGATACACCGTTTAAAATTGACCACAACTAATACAGTAATAGTAACTTAGTATTATTTATTTTTCTCTTTATTAAATTATATATACATATTAATTACATTTTTAAATATATTACAAAAGAAATAAAAATACATTTAAAAATATAAAAAAATAGTAGACCACCGACATCGGGTACAGGTACCAAACACACCAGTGGTTAGGACTGCAAAGATAGGAACCTCCTCACTATACGAGCCGTGTCAAGGAGGACTGCCTTCTGTATCAGACCCTTGATCCAGCCGTCCAACGTGAGCCTCTTAAGGTGTTGGTCGAGGCTCTTGGCTATCAATCCGTGAGCAGATACGACTATCGGAACAATTATCACTGAATCGACATTCCACATATCGACAATCTCGTGAGATAAATCCAAATATTTTATTTGTTTTTCTTTTTCAACTTTCACGAGATTCTCGTCATGAGGAACGGCGATATCAACAATCATTGCGCGGCGCTCTAATCGATCTATCACTACAATATCAGGCTTATTAGCAACAATAGTCCTGTCTGTGATAATAGATCGATCCCAATACAAACGTGGCCCGACCATTCTCGAGAACTGGGTCGGGCACATACCTGTAGTATGGCACCTCTAGATTCACAAGATGGTATTTAAGGGCAAGCTGTTGGTGTACAATCCTGGCTACTTGGTTGTGCCTATGCAAATATTCACCGTTAGCAAGACGAGAACAACCAGAAATGATATGCCTGATTGATTCCCCAGGACGGTGGCATGCCCGACAGATGTCAACCGTACCATCTTTCAGGATATATTTCCGATAGTTATTCGTCATGATAACTTCGTCCATAATCGCACAAACAAAACCTTCAGTTTCTCCGAAGAGATCACCATACCGTAGCCAAGTCGTAGATGCTTTAAAGTCTATATCGGACCCGTTTAGGGCCCGATAAAACCGGCCATGGAGCTCTTTGCCCTTCCATACTTCCCTACGATCATTAGTACTAAATACTACAGGTTTGCGCCAATTCTCTTTAGCCAGAGCGAGCGGGGTGAATCCGATATCCACTGCAACTACATTGCGATGCATTCCCACATCGGTATGTAGAAAATATTCTCTGAGATTGCATATCTCTCGATTGTGTAGGGTCTTGATATTTAATAATCCGCGACCCCCTAGCTTTCGCGGGATATACAATCTCATAACCGATGAACGTGGGTGGTGCATTCGAAATGCAGTCAGCAATGTACGGACTCTCCTATCAAGGGCATCTAGTTCGGTCTGAGTCCATTTAAGTATACCAAAGGAATACATCAGAATCGGCATGACCCAACCATTGCAGGCTCGCACCTTGTTGCCCCCTGATAAAAGACTTTTAAGTACTTTTTTCAAGCGGCCAAAAAAGCGTTCCTGCAACGTTTGTTTCATGTCAGATTCTGGTATGCCTAACGACTGTGATATACCCAAATACTTGTAAGTTTCAGTGGCAGACAGAGATCTGAGTTTTGTTGAATCGGAAAGCTCTATTCCTTCAGATTCTACTATCTAACCCTTCTTCACATACATGACTGCACACTTGTCTACACCAAATTCCATTTTGATAGAATTACTAAAGTTTTCCGTCACCTTTAGTAACGCTGACAATTGTAATTTGGTGGGGGCTAGTAGTTTCAAATCATCCATATAAAGAAGGTGAGATATAACTTGATCATCTTTCTGCAACCTATAGCCTAGCCCTGAACCCTCTAATAAAGTGCTAAGAGGGTTCAAAGCCAGGCAAAACCACAAGGGACTCAGACTATCACCTTGAAATATACCCCGCTCGATCTTTATTGGTGCATCAATTACCGTCGTCTGCCGACATCCTGGATAACGAAGCGCTGTTCTCCATTGCCCCATACATGACTTCAAGAAAGTGCACAGAGTTGTATCAATTTTATACAACTCCAGCACCCTCAAAAGCCATGTATGTGGAACCGAGTCATAAGCCTTCTTATAGTCTATCCAACATGTCGCCAAACTCTTACGATTACGACGCACCTGTTGGCTAATGGCCCTGTCTATAATAAGGAGGTCTTTAGTGCCACGGCTCCCACTTCTACATCCATTCTGAGAACTGACATAATCGAATTATTATTAATGTGTAAAGTAATTTTGAGTCTCAGAATAGATGTAAGAAGTTTGTACATGGTTGGTAAACATGTAATAGGTCTAAAATTTTTGGGATCCATGACACTACCAGACTTATAGAGTAGGTGGGTTATACCAGTGGTTAAAAATTGGGGTAATGAACCCGAATCCAAAGCTGCCTGGAATTGAGATGCCAAACACGCATGTGAGCTTCGGCACCACTTAAGCCAAAAGTTGTGCAGTCCGTCTAAACCAGGTGATTTCCAATTTGGTAATGAACGAACTGCACAGCTTACATCATCTTTATCAATTATAACTGGTTCCATAGGTGTTATAGACTCACATGAGCGTCTGACATCCCGCAACCAATCACCTTCTATATGAGTGACAGGCACCGACCAGATGTTCCGCCAAAAAAGTATGTGTGACATTTTCATCTGGCAAATGCTCATGACTCACACATGGATCCGGTTCCTCCCATTTCCGGTACACCCACTTCTCATTTCTTTGGAACATCCGATTCTGATTATACCGATCTATTCGTTTTTTGTACCGTCTTAACCTATTTGCCCATGCATAAATTTTCTGCTTTAGAAAGTCTATGCG